GTTCCCGGAAAACATGAAATAATTTAAGTGTTTGTCGCCTAACTATAGCGTCATTACCCCCCCCCCAAAAAAAAAAAAAAAAAAAAAATAGACAGATACATGTAGATAGATAAAGTCGCTGATATAAATAGTAATAGGTCACGAAAATGGAATAAATAAGTGCACTCAGAAAAACTGAGTGCACACAGTGTTCATTAATATATTAGAATAACATAAATGAAACAGTGACTTATAAGCCCACTGGGGCTGGGTGCAAAAAGAAAAAATATATTCTAGAACTGGGTTCCATGCCTAGATCGATCCACCACAGATATTTGGATCGATCTAACTCCCTGGGGAGTCTCACTAAATTGCTATCAATTAACCGGCTTAAATGTCTGTCACGCCTACCGAATTAGCTAGGGTGTAAAGATAATTACTCCCTAACAGCTTTACTACTAGGCGTGACAGACAATTAAGCCGGTCAAGTTGATACCAACTTATTGAGACTCCCCAGGGATATAGACCGATCCAAATATCTGTGGAAATGGTCCCTAAGTTTTCCCCTAATCTACCCACAACCAGTGTTATGTATACATATCTCTTATTACAACATTAATCACGTTAGACACGGTATCTGTAATAAAAATCACTTTTTCTTACAATTTACAGCTGTGAGGTGATCATTTCTAAATAAAGGTACATGGAAATGGGGGTGGGACAACCTTTTTGATCAATGTTGTATAACATTACCCATTAACTACGTACTTAAGATATTATCTCTCTTACGACCGTACCCACAATTGTCTCGAGAGGCGCGCGACATCTTAAGGACATTGTTACCCTTCGCCCCAAAATCCTTAGTTACTGCCTTACATACATTCTTTGGATTAATAAATAAGGGACCATTCCCACAGATATTTGGATCGATCTATCTCCCTGGGAAGTCTCAGTAAATTGCTATCAAACTAACCGGCTTAAATGTCTGTCACGCCTTGTAAAGCCGTAAGGGGGTAATTATTTTTTACCCTAGCTGATTCGGTAGGCGTGACAGACATTAAAGCCGGTTAAGTTGATAGCAATTTAGTGGGATCTCCAGGGAGTAAGACCGATTCAGATGGATCGATCGAGGCATGGGAACCCAGTCAAAGGGACCATTCCCAAAGTATTTGGATCGATCTATCTCCCTGGGGAGTCTCACTAAATAGAGGTTGTCCNTATTGAGACTCCCCAGGGATATAGATCGATCCAAATATCTGTGGAAATGGTCCCTAAGTTTTCCCCTAATCTACCCACAACCAGTGTTATGTATACACATCTCTTATTACAACATTAATCACCTTAGACACGGTATCTGTAATAAAAATCACTTTTTCTTACAATTTACAGCTGTGAGGTGATCATTTCTAAATAAAGGTACATGGAAATGGGGGTGGGACAACCTTTTTGATCAATGTTGTATAACATTACCCATTAACTACATACTTAAGATATTATCTCTCTTACGACCGTACCCACAATTGTCTCGAGAGGCGCGCGACATCTTAAGGACATTGTTACCCTTCGCCCCAAAATCCTTAGTTACTGCCTTACATACATTCTTTGGATTAATAAATAAGGGACCATTCCCACAGATATTTGGATCGATCTATCTCCCTGGGAAGTCTCAGTAAATTGCTATCAAACTAACCGGCTTAAATGTCTGTCACGCCTTGTAAAGCCGTAAGGGGGTAATTATTTTTTACCCTAGCTGATTCGGTAGGCGTGACAGACATTAAAGCCGGTTAAGTTGATAGCAATTTAGTGGGATCTCCAGGGAGTGAGACCGATTCAGATGGATCGACCGAGGCATGGGAACCCAGTCAAAGGGACCATTCCCAAAGTATTTGGATCGATCTATCTCCCTGGGGAGTCTCACTAAATTGCTGTCAACTTAACCGGCCTAGATGTCTGTCACGTCTAGTAGTCAAGCTGTTAGGGGTAATTATCTTTACCCCCTAGCTGATTCAGTTAAGTCGGTTAGTCGATAGCAATTTAGTGACACTGCCCAGGAAGTTAGATCGATCCATCTTGATCGATCTAAGCATGGGAACCCAGTCCCAGTCTCAATCTTGAGTGCTCAGTAACAAAATTGATTAACATTACACAAATGTTACCTTGCGGATTACTTTGTAATTGCGATTTTGGTAAAAACTGAACAAACGGTTTCATAAATTTCTCTTTTACCTGAGCACCCACGATCACCGTTTTAATGCCGATTGAATGACACCATTTAGTACTCCAAAATCCTGCCAGCGATTTGTTTTAAAAGTCTTAGTTCAGATTTTATCGTAGATAAAGCAAATTAATGTCATGGTTTCATAAAAATGTGTAATTAGGGGCTCATAACTCCATAACAAAAAAAATGACGGCACCAGTTTGTTGCGAATATACTACTGGTCAACGTCGCCAATTTTCGTGATAAAATCTTGTTCAGGGATGAAGTTACGCCCCATACCAATTGCTATCTCACCTCATAGAAAGGCATTAAATTGACAATTAAAGCTTTGATTTGCTTATGCTTAAACACGTTGCAACGAAAATGTATAAACGCCGATATTTTATATTTTCGAGGGGTATTTCGTTGTTTTAAATCAGCACAAAGATAGATGCATTATTGAATAATTAGATTCAAGAAAACACTCATTTTCCGTATCTGGATGCTAATAAAGGGTAACGATATCCTCAAAGGACCTGAGAAATCCCGAAGGGGTGCCTGTGCGTCCCATACACCTGGATTAGGACATTTAGTCCTAGCTTACACCTTATTCGAATGCCTACTCTTGTTAACCTACCTCTGTATTTACTGCACGTGCCTTGTCTGTATCCAGCAATATACAGTACCAACGTTCACTCCTACCAATTCCTTCTTTCATTCCACAGGCTCCTGTGGTAAAATGCACGTTTTTTATACATGTTATACTCCAGAATTGCGCATGTCATTGGAAGACCTATTTTTTGTTTGGAAATTTATTCACCCACCTACGCCTATCCCCTTATAAGGTAGTTTGATAAAAATAAATTCTTTCATGATGATCGCTTTAGTTTTCCGGGTATTTAGTATTCTGTTCGTGGAACTGGTCCGCGATATCGGAGGAGAGAACAATCAAACCCCAAATTAACATGGATAAAAAATCCTGACAATCTTTTCTGTACTCTTATTGTAATGTGACCTACATCTTTTAGTGTGACTTTACTGAAGCCTTGGTTTTCAGATAGCTGTATTGAAGTGGAACTGGCATTCTTGAATTTTGAATCTATTATCCTTGTAAGTAATAGGGTTTTTATCATTCAAAGATCAACATTATTGTGTATCATTAATGCACAGGCACGTAGAGTTACTTTATGGCTAACAAGATAGTTGACCTTGCAGCCGGTGATCGATACAAGGTCGATCTTATCTGGATTTTTCTTGCAAAGAGAAAGTGAAATACTATTGTGTCACTTTTCATCGTAACTGACCTACATGGGAGAGATAGAGAGTTGCGGGTAAAACTAAACGGGATATAGCACTCGAATGCATTTCTCGTGCAATTTATACTCTATAGGCTTGCCCCTCTAATTGTGAGACCTGCATTTTAACACCCGTGTATTGATCCTACTACCTTGCATATTACGGTAGTTTTAGAAAGAAGTCTTTAGGAAATGCCTTCCAAACATGCATTTAAAGCATTTGAAAAAAAAATAAATTTACCTTTTTTTCAGATTGAGAAGAATAGATATTCAAGCGAGGCAGATTGATTCATAAATATGAAATTCCCTCGTGGTTCAATCAAATGCCAAGTCGGATATACCCAGCTGGGGGTGCCTTGTCTTTGTAATTTGATTGATTTTAATTTTTTATTTATTGTACACGAATATCTTTTTAATTCTCTTTATCTTGAACGTTAGTCCAAGTACAAATAGCAGATATTCATAATCAAAATTTCAGCCAGTAAGAGATAAGATGCCTTGCATATTTAGAAACCATAAAACGCCCATCCCTAGTTTATACAAACACTCAAAGATAACTCTGGTGACTCACCACCTTGTGTCTGCTATCAAGGACTTCTAAAATAGTGTACAAAATTTAAGGGACCATTCCCACAGTCTCACTAAATTGCTGTCACCTTGACCGGCTTAAATGTCTGTCACACTTAGTAAAGCTGTTAGGGGGTTATTATCTTTACCCTAGCTAATTCGGTAGGCGTGAAAGACAATTAAGCCGGTTAAGTTAACAGCAATTTAGTGACACTCCCCAGGGAGATACATCGATCCAGATGGATCGATTTAGGCATGGGAGCCCAGTCTAAGTATGAGCACCCTGTAGCCAGAGCTCTGACTCGTTATCTCCAGAGATTATGAGTCAGAGCCACGTTAGCCTG